CCAAATCCTTACATCTCTAAATCATCAAATTTCATACAGAAGTACGTACAGAAATAGATACCTAAATGCCTAAATTTGAGGATCACTGAATCCCCAAATCCCTATATGTATACCCAAATTCATAAATATGTAGATTCCTAAATTATGAGTTACTACATGTCCACATATCTGCATCGTTAGATAGCTACATGTCCACGTATCTGCATCCTTAGGTACCTATGTGTCCACATCTCTGCATCCTTAGATATCTACATATACAGGTCCCTAAATTCCAGGAATCCTATATTTCCAAATCCCTAAACCTTGAATCTCTACATTTCCAAATTCTTACATACCTAAATTTCTGAATCCCCAAATCTCTATATCCTGAATCCCTACATAGCTAAATTTCTAAATCTCCAGATTCCTACATACCCAAATCTCTACATCCTTAAATCTCTACATCTCCAAATCCCTAAATACCCAAATCTCTAAATCTCTACATCTCCAAATCCCCAAACACCCAAATCCCTAAATCCCTAAATCTCCAAATACCTAAACCTTCAAATCCCTAAATACCCAAATCTCTAAATATCCAAATCCCTAAATACTCAAATCTCTAAATATCCAAATCTCTAAATATCCCAATACCTAAATACACAAATCCCTAAATTTCCAGATCTAGAAATCCCCATTTCTCTAAATTCCCAATTCCTTGCACCCCCAAATTCCTAAAACCCCAAACCCCAAAAACCCTCTGTCCCTAAATCTCCCAATCCTTAAATCCTCAAATTTCCCTAATTCCCAAATCCCCAAATTCTAAAATCGAACCCCACAACTTCCATTTCCAAAAACCTCAGATCTCAAATTCTGAAGTCTCGTCATCTCTAAATGTCATCCAAGCGTAACTATTGATACACATTACGTAGTGCACACTGAAATCATGACACTCTTGCAAAACTGTCCCGTGATAATTATAGCATGCATCAATTTTATAGCTTCCGTGTAGTCGCAATAATAGTATTGTCACTATTCCCACGTGTTACCGTGTGATTCATTGCTCTTAACATATGGTGAACTCAGTGCATGCAAAATATCGAAAGGAAACGATATTTTATGTTATGTCATCAATACGCACATTATACTTACGAAGCTTTTGTTTCGAGGAATTACCAGACATGGTATAGAATATCGCTACTGTGAAAGAAACTGTATTTTCGAGTAAGATTACAAACTCCAAGGCATGATTTCCAAGGATTATGGCTACAGTTTTTGTAATCTGGAATGTGCATTTTGCTTCAATGTTAAACGGAAGAATATCTTTGCTCGTTTAATTGAAGGCCATTCGTGGCCCATTTTGTATTGAAACGGGAATAATAATGCCGTACAAAGACGTACAAGTTTCATTGAAACCACTGTTGTTACGTCAATCGTTGCGAATATGTTAAAGAAGGACAAGTTCTTGCGTTATCGAGGAACTACTTACTTGACGAGAAAATGCACGTGTATGAAGTTGCTACGGTTTGACCTAGTATAGACGCGAACAACGAACTAAAAGGTTCAAGTCCCTTTTGTCGAGACTCGTTGAATGATAGCCAAATTTCTAATTATGTCACGCCAATGCCGTCATAAACGAACCCATTCACTCGCGAATTCATATATTGAATCGGATGAATATGGAACAAGGGCGGAACAAATCGTGGTGATCCGCGGTATTGATTAACTTCTTTGGGAAGCACCTTTCATTTTTAAATTTTTTAATTTTTAACTTTAGAGTGGTTGAAGTTATTGATAAGGTTTTGATGTGCATTTTCAGATTTCGAAATTTTTTATATTTTGAAGTTGGTTGGTTCGTTTTGAAGATCCTCAACTTATATTTCTAAATCCTTACAGTTTTTAATTTTCAAGTTTTGGAATTTCTTAAATATCAAGTTTCTGGATCTCTAAATCAGTAATGATGGCATTATAAAATCTACAAATGTCCATGTTCCCCAATCTCTAAATACGCAACTTGTCAAATTTATAAATTCTTAGTTCACCAAATCTACATATGTCCACATACTGGACTCTTCGAGGGTACAAATCCTCAACTCCCCAAATCTTCATATTTCCAAATATCTAAGTCCTCAGATCTACAAATCCTGAAGTCCTGAGGTGCCCACATCTCTAAATACCCAACTCCACAAATGCCCGCATCTCCAAATACCCAACTCTCCAAATGTCCACACCTCTAAATACCCAACTCCCCAAGTGTCCACATTTCCAAATACCCAACTCCCCAAGTGTCCACATCTCCAAATACCCAACTCCCCAAGTGTCCACATCTCCAAATACCCAACTCCCCAAATGTCCACATCTCCAAATACCCAACTCCCCAAGTGTCCACATCTCCAAATACCCAACTCCCCAAATGTCCACATCTCCAAATACCCAACTCCCCAAGTGTCCACATCTCCAAATACCCAACTCCCCAAATGTCCACATCTCCAAATACCCAACTCCCCAAGTGTCCACATCTCCAAATACCCAACTCCCCAAATGTCCACATCTCCAAATACCCAACTCCCCAAGTGTCCACATCTCCAAATACCCAACTCCCCAAATGTCCACATCTCCAAATACCCAACTCCCCAAGTGTCCACATCTCCAAATACCCAACTCCCCAAATGTCCACATCTCCAAATACCCAACTCCCCAAGTGTCCACATCTCCAAATACCCAACTCCCCAAATGTCCACATCTCCAAATACCCAACTCCCCAAGTGTCCACATCTCCAAATACCCAACTCCCCAAATGTCCACATCTCCAAATACCCAACTCCCCAAGTGTCCACATCTCCAAATACCCAACTCCCCAAATGTCCACATCTCCAAATACCCAACTCCCCAAGTGTCCACATCTCCAAATACCCAACTCCCCAAGTGTCCACATCTCCAAATACCCAACTCCCCAAGTGTCCACATCACCAAATACCTAACTTTCCAAATCCCACATCTACAAATACCCAACTCCCCAAATGCCTACATCTCCAAATACCCAACTCTCCAAATGTCCACACCTCTAAATACCCAACTCCCCAAGTGTCCACATCTCCAAATACCCAACTCCCCAAATGTCCACATCTCCAAATACCCAACTCCCCAAATGTCCACATCTCCAAATACCCAACTCCCCAAATGTCCACATCTCCAAATACCCAACTCCCCAAATGTCCACATCTCCAAATACCCAACTCCCCAAGTGTCCACATCTCCAAATACCCAACTCCCCAAATGCCCACATCTCCAAATGTTCGCATCCCCAAGTGTCCACATCACCAAATACCTAACTTTCCAAATCCCACATCTACAAATACCCAACTCCCCAAATGCCTACATCTCCAAATACCCAACTCTCCAAATGTCCACACCTCTAAATACCCAACTCCCCAAGTGTCCACATCTCTAAATACCCAACTCCCCAAGTGTCCACATCTCTAAATACCCAACTCCCCAAGTGTCCACATCTCCAAATACCCAACTCCCCAAGTGTCCACATCTCCAAACACCCAACTCCCCAAATGCCCACATCTCCAAATACCCAACTCCTCAAAACTACATATCTTCAAATCTCCAAATCTCCAAGTACCCAACTCCTCAAAATTACATATCTCTAAATTTCGAAATCTCCAAATCCCCAACTGACCAAATCTCTAAACCCTCTAATTTGAACCTTAACTCCAACATACCACCAAAAATCCAAGCTACTAATGTCTATCTCAATATCCCTAAATAATTGAAAATTTTGAACAATTAAAAATAGTGAAATCCGAGACGACAATCGACACTATCACCGATGTATTTGTAGTTATGTAAATATAATCGTCCATGCTGCGGCAAACCGTTACGGAAAGTTGATCGAAGACGTCTTTCAATATTATCCTCGTCTTCTTATCACTCGATATGTCGATGACAGGCGCTCGGTGAACTTTTATATTTACGCTGGGGATGTTTTTTTCATATACTTGCTCGCTATCTTTATTATTATTGTATAGATGACAAACGGTCGTTTGTACGATAAAACTCTTTATTTCTCTTATTGATTCCGGAATAATTGGCTGGCAACGTATTTGCAGCGTTATTGATAGACATGTCAACCGAATATGTTGTAAGCAGATTCGAATCTGATTACACAATTTCGAGCTCGTGAATAATGCGGGATTAATTTATTGACACTGATAACATTGCAATGTGTAATCGTATCCAAATTTGGAATTAAATATTTTTTAATCAAAGTATCGTTTTAATCTTTCAATCAAAGTATCACTTTAATTTTTTAATAAAAATTTTAAGCTCTCAATCAAAGTATCGTTTTATTTTTTTGATTGAAGTATCGTTTTAATTTTTTAATCGAAGTATCGTTTTAATCTTTCAATCAAAGTATCACTTTAATCTTTCAATCATAATATCATTTTAAGCTCGCATCAAATTAAATTCGGTAATCGTTTGATCTGTTAATTAAAATATCATTCGATCGCTTGGTATAATGTAGGTTGAACTCTGTATGTTAAATAACGTATATCAAGCTACAAATGTAAAATAATATAATCACAAAAAATGAGAGAACATGAATTGCTAATCTAGTAAGTTGGTAGCTGTGCCAATAACAGCTGCATTACTTCCGACTGTCAACTTGTCAGACGCACAGGATATCTGGTTTCAATTTGGACAGAAGTATTTGTATACTCACAACTTTTGTAACTTAAGACTATTTAACATTTACTACTTAATTTTCTTTTTTATTTTTTGTCGTTTTCAAGCAATTGTCTACGAGATATAAAACTTAGGAGTGCACTATGTTTGTCGTCACTTTTGGATTAATTTTTTGTCATTCTTGCTTTGCTGTAAGCTGATATACAAACAGCAATTCTGAAGATAAAAGTTTGACGAGATTTGAACGACTCCATGTTTAATTCTTTGCGAAATTTCTCTTCCATTTCTTTTTTGCAAAGATAATAATTATTATTATTATCTTCCTACAGCGCTGGTGGCCTTGTGACTGCTGTTGCACCGGTGGTTATCAGCGGAAATGGAGTCTGGGTCGGATGGCCAGGAATGCACATGGAAAATCCTGATGAGCCAATTCCTGAATCTGATCCTAACGATCGCACACCGACAGCTGGTCTTCTATCTCGTAAGGTAAGATGTCTTCCTTTCATATTGTAATCGCCATTTATTTCCTTCCTAAGATCAATGAGGACGTTCAAAACTAATGTCTTTATACAAATTGATCAATCAACTTAAATTAAAATTTTAACCAAACCATGAATTTATGAATTTTAACCAAACCATGAATTTAGTATCTGATCAATGTTAAAATTGAACTGTTTTTCACTTCATTTTTATGTGCAATATGAAAATTATTTAAAAATAAGTAGGTTAAGCATAAAGAGACATTTCATGTGGATTCATATAAAAATACTAAGTTAAATTAAATAAATACTATTGCTGTGAATTTGTATTTTTGCTGTCATATGTCTATAAACTCAAACATTTGATTAGTTTTTTAATTCGACAAGAAAATACTATTTTTATCATTCGTTCCTTAAATTCATCACATCGTTCGAAATAAAAGCTCAAAGCGATAATCATTGTATAATTCTCCGTCGCAAAAAGACGCAACAGCTTATTGTCGTAGTTATGAAAAAATCGTAGAAAGATAAACTTTGGTAAAACATTTAACCCATCTCCCCATTATTGTTTTATCTTCAACCAAACAAAAGATATGTCCTATTCCAATCCCGTGTGACTCACCCTGTACAAAGAATACGTGTTTTAACGATATCATTAACTTTGCATTGTTTTACATCAACACTTTATACGTCCGGCAATTTATTGAACAAAATCGAACTGTTGGTCGTCGCTTTAATTAAATATCTGCCCCGGTAATTAAGGGTTAATGATGGTTCTATTAATGTGACACGCTACAGGTTGCAATAGATTTTAGTTAGCTTCTATTTCCCTTCTAGGTTGGTATATTAATCATGTTCTGTTATTAATATCTCAATGGAAAATATTTTTATCATCCATTTATATATAAATTTGTTATTTATTTTTTAAGTAGTAATTCTTGATGTACTACATTTTTGAAAGAAGTTGCAGTTGGTGAGAGAGAGCACCTTTGTCATGTAATATTTTTTGTTATCACTTTTATCTGATTTTTATATTTGAACTGTGGATATGTCTGTAACATATCTAACACATTTATCTATAACATTTAACATCTATAAAATTTAAATTATATGTTTCTGTAATATTTAATCTATGTATGTGTGTACATATAACATTTAGACTATGTGTGTATATTTTTTTATTTAAACACTCTGTCGAGAAAATTGTTAAAAAGTAACTTGTATTTAATTGATCACAAAATAAGAGAAATATGAAAATTCAGTATCATTGCACAATCAACAGAAATGCCATCATAATATTTGTGAACGACGTTGTACGACCACTTTCACTGTATAATAAACATTTGAATTCGCGAAAATTTCGTGTCGGCGAATCACCGCTGGCTACGGGACCAGTTTATTTTCGTGCACGATACTCGAATACGTAGGAAATTCGCTAAATATAATTCGACCGTTCGCCCACGGTCGTTTCAATTGACAATTGTGATGGTATTTTATTATATCGTTGGTAGTCGATAATTTAATTTATGACTAAATTCCAATATACGTCGGTTATAACAGCGAATTCCAGTTTCCGAGAAATTATTTTCCGACGATCATTCTATGATAACCTACTTTCACAGAACCTTAATCGATCTCGTAAATTTCCTTGGAAAATCGCATCACTTACAGGCTTAATTCCATTTCACAACGATCAAACTTGCCTTCTTGGGAAACGTAAGCGTATTATATTCGAAAGTATAAGTTTTTAAAGTATATCGAGTGCTTTCAAATGTAATTGTATCTATTTAAGATGTACGAACAGGAAGTATGAACTAACTTTTAAATTTAGCGTACTTGAATTCTAAATCAGTGTTTCATCAGATAATTAGATAAAACGTCTTGGGTTACAATTTTCCAGAATTTTGTTATTTTAGAGTACTTACGAATTTAGGTGACATCGTCATGTCACTTGTCAGACATTCAAAAATTCGCGCCATGTGGTGGCTCATGGGAATCTACAAAGAACTCCTATTTACTTATAGTGAAATTTAACAATAATTCTAGAGATAAATACTTTATTATTAACCTATAATTAATAACTAATTTGTAACTGAATAATTCATCATTTATTTCAAATATAACTTAAGAGTAATATTCTACAGATCAATACTTTATCGCTAACTAATTAACTTATAGCTAATCTAGCATTTACTTCAAACGTAATTTAACAGTAACATTCTGATCAATATTTTATTACAAACCTATAATTAATAATTAATCTATAATAATCTAACATTTATTTCAAATTCAATAATTGTCTAGAGATCAATAATTTATTACAAACCTATAATTAATAATTAATCTACAACCAAACAATCTAGAATTAATTAATTCATTCATTTAAAATAAATTCCATCAGAAATGTATGGAAGTTAAATTTTAAGTAATTTAACAATCTTGCAGAGATCGATACTCTTGTTATTTTAGTACAGACAATTAAAAATGTCCAGATTCTCAAAAATCAGTGTCCGAACAAGTGGTTCTAATCTCGAGCCATGAACGTCCATGGTGTAATTAGATAAAACTTTATCAGAAACCGAATAACTGCTTTATACAAGTACGTCGAGAGCAAGATAAGAGAACAAACGTTTCGCGACGTTCTGAAACGTTTTCAAACGTTTTCGCGAAAATCGTCGCTTCGATCGGAACACATGGAGCGTGTTCAATAAGCCGTGATTCAGATACATTGTCACGGTCTTGTCGCATGAACGTGGTTCCTCGTCGCGTAACACCCACGCATTGTAGAACGTGCTACTGCGATATTGTGGGTAACACGTTGACCTTCACATTGATAGTTTATTCTAACTTCTTGCATGAATCATTCTTTTCCATCGTGCTAGCTTGTAATGTTCCATTAAGCTCGAGTTACCGAAAAATATTCCGTCTTACGATATCGATCCAACATTCTATGAAGTCCACAGTAGATCACTTAACCGGTTATTTTGCATAACTCAAAAATTATTTTCAAGATTGCAGATATACAAACTACATTTATAACGCTCGCGCGATATCGAGTTAAACGACTTTTTTGATGAATCAATAATTCATTTCTTTTTCTTGAGATATGGAAATGTTTGCAAATATTGTCAGCCATAGATGTATATGATGATACATAGATGTTTGTTTTCAGTATTTGCTTTGTCTCTATTGTTATAGTTGACACTTGTTTTTGTCTGTCTTTAATAAGTTACGTATAAGAATATTTAATCGCCAAGTGTCACGATAAGGAAACTTGTGTACAACTGTGTTTATTATTTATATACAACCATTATAATCTTCGTCACGAGTACATGTTTATCAGATTTTAATTTATGAAATCGTTACGTTGTTACCAACTATACTTAATTGAAATTCAAGGTACACAGTCTATACAAGTTTTAACTCAGTAAATATTTATTCCAGCAGTATTCGTTGTGAGTTTATCAATTTTCAAATTTTGGAATTTGTAAGTGTACAGATGAGTTATTATGAGGTTACATAATCAAGTCTTGCATAGATAGAGTTCGATATCACCTTTTGAACTGCTTTTTTACTTCTAGGGGTCCAAGGTCATGTGATGTGTAATTTGGTGAAACAATAAGTGGCCATATAGCGAGATATCATACTAGCCTTGCAAATAGCCATTTAGTGAATCATCGTATGTTTCATAAAATATTAAATGGATCTATACCATATACAACTTTGATGAAGTAAATGGCCATATAGCGAGATGCTGCCCTAATTTAGCGTGCTAAAGCACTGAAAAATTATGTAAAATTAAAGTACTTAAAATTTGAAAATTATTCAGACCAGAATAATTTGAAAAATAAAGTTACACGTGGCTTTAATCGCGCCATTATTGAAAACCGACCGTGCATGAAACTAAATTGCTACACTGTTTCCGTCAACGTGTCGAAGACGCTCGTCGATTAAAATCGAGTAACAAGAGCAATTGAATCGCTGCATAGACGATCAAATTCGTTGGTTGATTCTCGATTAACTCGATACTCGTGGTCATCACGTCGATTAGCCCGGTCAAATCAAGACGTGAAAACGATTTGTTCGGGTTGAAGTTCAAAGGTGAATGTCGTAAAGAAATATTGCAGCTGTCGGCTGTAATCGCGGTATATCTCTTCGTAATTGTTGCTTCCTACTTTTAATCAACGTTGATTCTATAGATACGATCGTTCCGGGGACAAATTGAAATATCTCTCTAAGCTTTATACCGTTTTAAAATATGTAATCTTCTTCATACACGATGGCGCTCGGTCTGTCCAATTTCTGATTTCTGTTATCTTGATTAAACTTTTTTTTTATGTAGTTATCGTTTAATGATTAATGCGTTTGGACAGATGGTTATGTCGATAACTTCTGATTCACGAAATTAATTACATAGCAGATATCTTTGGTGATTTCTGTTAACCCCAGTTGTGGTTTTAATAATTTTATTTGGGGACGAAATTTTTAATTTTTTCTTTGCGAAATAGTTCCAAAACACTTCAAGATTTAACCCAAAAGATTTAAATATTTCAACCACGATTTCCCTCAAACACCCAAAAGATTTAAATATTTCAACCAAAATTTCCCTCAAACACCCAAATGTCCCTATATCTCAAAATACCCCAAAGTAGCAAACTTTGGACTCCAAATGAAGAAAGAACGCGATCCTTTTAAAAATTGCTATCAAAGTTGAAACCCGAACAGATTCACCGTTTCCGCAAGATGAAACTCTTTCTCGTTATTTCGCAGAGTGATACGCTCGGTTTAAAACGGAGATGCTGTCGTGACTGGAAATGTTCTAGGAAAATGATACTGGAAGAAAAAGGAACTGGTAAAGAAGGAGATCGAACGGTAGAAGGGGACGGTGTTTACGTATCAATGATAACGATGCTGCGGTGGTTTCTCTGAAACACAGATAGAATATCTTGTTTTCGTCCCAAATAACGTTTAGAAAGAAGTTGCTCGAATAGGATACTTTTTGTGATC